TAAAAATGACTGCTGTTCCCTTCGAATAAAAGAAAGAGAGGGTGGAAAACCCGTGCTTGAGCTAGTAGTGGATAAGCCTTTAGACAGAGAGAAAAAGGCTGTTCATAAAATATTATTAACTGCATTTGATGGAGGAAGTCCGACTCGATCAGGCACTTCAGAAATTACTATAAATGTACTTGACAGCAATGATAACTTTCCGGTATTTGAGAAAAATCTCTACACAGTAACTGTGGGTGAAAGTAGTGTAAAAGGGACTGTTATTATCAGACCAAAAGCAACAGATGCAGATGAAGGGTTGAATGGCGAAATTGGCTTTTCATTTGGCACCACGACTCCAGATTCTGTGTTATCCATTTTTGACATGAATCCCGTGACTGGTGAGATCACTTTAAAGGAGAAATTAGATTATGAGACAACAAAGTCATACGACATTGACATAACTGCTAAAGATAAAGGCAGCCCTGAGATGGAGGGTCATTGTCGTGTGCAGGTTGATGTGAAGGACTCCAATGATAATCCTCCTGAAATCGTCCTCACCTCACAGCCAAAACCTGTGCGTGAGGATGCCCCGAGTGGAAGTGTTGTCGCCCTCATAAGTGCTCGTGATCTTGACTCGGGTCAGAATGGTAATGTCACGTTACACCTGAAAGAGGGCTCTCCTTTTGCCCTAAAAAGTTCTTTTTCTAACGTTTACGCGCTGGTCACCAGTGCTGCTTTAGACCGAGAGAGTGTATCTGAGTATAATATTGAGATAACAGCCACTGATGCAGGCTTTCCTCCTCTCTCGAGTAAGAAAATGATCTCTGTAAGCATTACTGACATTAACGACAACCCTCCTGTGTTCTCTCAGAGCTCGTACAATGTTTATTTAAAAGAGAACGGAGTAGCAGGCTCGATACTGTACTCGGTGTCTGCAAGTGATCTGGATGCTGGTGAAAACGCCAAAGTGTCCTACTCCATCGTGGACTCAAAAGTGCACGACGTGTCCGTGTCGTCTTATGTTTACGTGAACTCGGAGAACGGCAGCATCTTCAG